TCACTAGGAGGATCAGCCTCCCAATCGCTAGGAGGATCAGCCTCCCAATCGCTAGGAGGATCAGCCTCCCAATCGCTAGGAGGATTGGCCCCCCAATCGCTAGGAGGGTCAGCCTCCCAATCGCTAGGGGGATCAGCCTCCCAATCGCTAGGAGGGTCAGCCTCCCAATCGCTAGGAGGATCAGCCTCCCAATCGCTAGGAGGGTCAGCCTCCCAAACGCTAGGAGGATCAGCCTCCCAATCGCTAGGAGGGTCAGCCTCCCACCGCTAGGGGATCAGCCCCAACCCGCTAGGGGGATCGGCCTCCAACTCGCTAGAGGGATCAGCCTCCAACTCGCTAGGAGGATCAGCCTCCCACTCGCTAGGGGATCCACCTCAACCCGCTAGGAGGGTCAGCCTCCAACTCGCTAGGAGGATCAGCCTCCAACCCGCTAGGAGGAATGGCCTCCAACCCGCTAGGGGGATCAACCTCCAACTCGCTAGGAGGGTCACCTCCACTCGCTAGGAGGGTCAGCCTCCAAAACACTAGGGGGGGTCAGCTCCCGAAGGAAACGCTAAGAGGAAAGGCCTCCGTAACACGCTTAGAGAACCCGCCATGGTCTACCTCCTAATTGCTAAGGTGGTCGACCTCAGCATCACTAGGTGTCTCGGTTTTGCGTCGCTAGGGGGAACATCTGCCACCGCGTCGCTAGAGGGAACAACCGCCACCGCGTCGCTAGAGGGACATCTGCCACCGCGTCGCTAGAGGGAACATCCGCCACCGACGCCACTAGAGGGACATCTGCCACCGTGTCGCTAGAGGAACATCTGCCACTGCGTCGCTGGAGGGGACCTCTGCCACCGCGTCGCTAGAGGGAACAATTGTCACTGCGTCGCTAGAGGGGACATCTGCCACCCCGCCTTTCCCTCGAACTAATCACTCACCGGTCTGTCTGGGAAATTCATCTCCTCCCCGTCGCCTCCAATCGCGTTCCTCGCCAGTGCCCACTACGAGCAAGTCAAAAGGACAAGGTCGGAAAGTCAGATGGGGGTGGACTGGGCCCGGCTCTGGGTCGGGTGCTCTGTCGTCGCTTCGTTGCGATAATTAATTCCGCATGGATGACTTGTCGCTCTTCCTGGTTTGTCCGACTGGTCCGTCGGTCGCTGCTTATTAAATGGGTCGGACGACCAGGTATGCTTGCTTGCTTTTCTCTTCAGCAGTTGCCCCGGCTGGCACTAATTGAGATAACAGGAACGCTATTATTCGCTTAACTCCCGACGAAGGCGGGAAACGCCCTCAGTCGCGCCTTCTCTCGGCCGGTCTACCCGCCGACACCACTCTTGTGGCCCAGTGCCGCTGACACGGGCAAAGCTTGGCAAATAAGGGACAGGATTTTATACCTCATTCTCCATATCTGGGTACGCTTCGTTGTTTCTTGTCCACTGCGGGTCAGTGTAGTTTGGCTGGCTCTTGGTTGTCTCTACTCGCTACCTTAGCGAAGAGACGTTAAATGGTATTGAGAGAGAGAGACTGATTTGCGCGGATGCTCGGTATGTTGGAGTTCACTTGCTGTCGTACCACCGTTGTTGCGAGCATTTAAGTCTCTGTAAGTTTTTAAGTCAGGAGGAGTAACAGGGAGTCTCCACATGGACGTTTGTTAGCGACCCTTTTAAAAATTCTCACCCTGGACGTCAGGTTTGCACGTTCTGTTTCGCAATATGACATATTCTATATAAATAAATGATAGAAATGCAAAAGGTTTGACGGAAGGCGGAGGGATGGCGAAGAACGGGGGGCCCACGTTGAGACAAGGCCCTTGTTAAACGTCCAATAAGTCCGCAAAATTTATAGGCTGCCCCGGACCAGCTTTAAGGATTGTTAAATTTGTTAACTTTGAGCGCGGAAAATCTCGTGACTTCTTTTTAAATTTTAATATCACACGGTCTTTCCTTTGCTTTCCGTCTACTACCTTGACTGCTCGCCGACTTTCGCCGTTGCCGTTGACCAAGAATGTCACAGAACCAGTCGCCCTCGCCTGTACCGTCTCAGAACTATCCTACTCCATTACACAATGCCTTAATGGCAACGATTCAGCAGCCAATGCTGAGTCCGCTGCCCAGACTGTTTAGCATTGCCGACGTCCATGCTGCTATGAGAATGGGCAACAGCCCAGCGACAATTTGCAGGACAACTGCCGTCCTCATTTCTCTTTAATGTTCAAAAAAAATTTGCTCAAGCAGGAGCGAAATGGCGCTAATAGACGGTAAAAATATGGTTTCGGGGCTGCTAGTGGAGACAGTACTTTGTTAGGCATTGTTAGCGCGCCAATAACTTTAGTGGAGATAGTTAACAAACGTCCATGTGGAGACTCCCGGTAAGGCTTATTAGGAAACAGTTGACTCTCACCGCGGTTTCGCATCGTGATTTAACCATCGCTTTGCAACCAACTGCTAAAGTCCATCGATTCTGTGCTGACGATGACACCGCAGCTGCACTCTGGGAACCGGCCTCCCTTCGATTCCTCGGGAACCTTCATTTGGCGTTCATTTCGTGCTCATTTCGTGCTCATTTCGGAATGGAGGGCTGAGGGACCTTCAGAACACAGCTGGGTTGGGTAGTAGCTGGACCGCTACGGGGCTCAGGAGCTACTAGTCCAGTTGCTAAGGGGGCTCTTTAGCTCCCACCCAGGCTGCCATAGGGCTGAAACTCGACTCGGCATTGATTCAGCGCCGTTACATCAACGTGCATCGGGCCCACTCGCACAGGCCATGTCATCCGCCATGTACAGCTTGATCCAGTGGAAAGCACAAAGAAATAAAGGCGCTTTTCGAGGTGCTAAGTTTGATACCGAAAGAGAAGCTATCACTCAAGTCTGGTAATAAATAGGTAACGCAAGACTCACCAAAAAATCCAAACTTCGACCTACCCTCGACCAAACTTCGGCCTACACACTACTGTTGAAAACGAATCCTATATAAACTATGAACAATCCATGGATTTCCCACCCCATGATGGGCAACCGCGGACCGTTTCCGTACACGTATGTACATGAGCAAAGTGCGGGCCATACATACGATGGGTGACCCGCCACTATAACCACGCTAATAAGGGGATGAAACACATCACGGAATGCCCTTGCGTGCACGAATGGACTGGCACGGCGAAGAACTAATAAGTGGACACCAAGGGGATGATGAACAAAGCGCCTCAAGCGCAGTGCTGGGAGAAGTAGTTCCTGCTGTTGCCTCATGAATCCGGCGCCACAGCAGGGAGCCCTCCGTGTGGCATGCGAGGTAGACCCCATCTTCGTTCCAGAGACGAAACGGCGGCTTCAATGGGTGCGATACCTGTCAGGCGCCATCTCCGTCCGGCTGGCGGGTTGTGCAATCCTCTGAACTGCTGTTCATTGGATAATGCCCCAAGCTACCTGCTGGTGTAGCTGGTACACAGTACGGCACACATAACATCTACAAATACGTGCTAAGCGTGTCCACCAGCATCTCAGGAGGCTTTTTCAGCGGCCAGCTACTACACCTGCACACCGGAACAGCAGGGGGGTGGAAGGGAAGCTGAAACCCATGCATTTATCAGACCTGCCGGCTGGAGCACGCATGAGTGGGTGTGCGCATGGCGGGCTAGGCGGTGATGATTAGCTGCGTGGCAGCAGGGTTGGCGGCTGGCTGGCTTGAGCTGACGTCGATCTGGACCAACTACCCTTCGATGAAGATGAGTCAGGCATCACCTTTATAGGAACGAACGCAATGAGTACGTAGGAACTGATTGATGCATGGCCAATGTACACACGCAACCTAGCATCGCAATTCTGTGCCTCTCACTATTTGGGTTGGTTGCAGGGTCACCCTTATTCACGCACAAGTACCTGCATGACAGCTGCCCCACCTGCTACCTGCTACCTGGGATATCATAACCTTTGGTGTGATGATACACACAGCTTCACAGCATTTTGTGCGATATCGACACACACACCGACCTGCCAAATGGCCTCGTGCGGTGCCCAAGCTCTTGGGAGGCTGGATCAGCGGTGGAGGCGACGAAGGAGAGCAGGGTCTGCAGCGGGCAGCCGCACAGGGGCACCAACAGCAGTGATGCGAAATAATAGGAGGTGCATGCAGGTGCAATTCAACCCCTGCGATGTATTCAGTGGTGCAGACAAGAAACCGATGCATGATCACTGCGTGAATGCTGCATACAAAAGGCACACCAAGCTGGTGATGCGAAGAGAACGCGGCCTCGCTTGTCTAGGCACTGCTGCTTGGGTGCTGCGGAGTGTGCTCCTTTATTTCACGGACGTGTGGGTCAGATGCGTTACCAAATGCAGGCTGCTTGTTTATGATTAAGTAGGCCCCCAGCTTCGTATCTTTATGCTGATGACTCACCGATGAGCGAGTACAAGCTGTTTGACCAGGGACCCCCGCAGATTTGGGAGTTATCGCCTGTGCAGTTCATGGTGCAGGCAGCGCTCGTGCCAAGAGACGTAGCCAGCACCAGGTCGTTACCACCATAGCACTGGCCCCGGAATTGCACACCGTACAGCTTCAGGCCTGCGCATTTTTTGTACAGAGCAGAACATTATTCACCATCCAGAGTAGTACGAGGTAGACGAGAGACGTTGTCCCTACCTGCTTATTCTACCATACTCGCTACTGCTACGCATGTTACGCCGCAACACGTTACGGCTGCACTGCTGCTTTTGCGCAGCTTACTGTGCAGTCACAATGTAACTGACTTATGCTTCTAAAGCGAGCCAGTTGGATTCGTAGGCCGCCAGCAATCCTTTAGGAAAGAATGTGGATCGCTTGCGGGTATTTTCTTTGGCAGCAGCACTAAATTTGCTGCAAGGAGTGATGAAAGCAATTCCCGCACCCTTGGCATCTCACTCTCGCGGGTACGGTTTGCCTAGCTATCTGGCGTAACGAGCAGCAGCAGAACAGAGGGGTCGCCTAAATATCCACATTCGATGTATGCGTGAGCCCACGCACCTGCAGCACGTGCGAGGCTCGCACACCTCAACGGCGTCACAAATTGCTTGTTGTACGCGAGGAACACAGGCAGCAGGCGACTGCTGTTGAGCTTCCGGTCGTTGTAGCAGCCGAGGTAAACTCCCTCAGCTATGGAAAACAACGCAAGGGAGAGAGCACGAGAGGCTCACTCATCTTCAGACTGACGTAGATTGACAAGTAGGAGAGACGTGGAAAGGAGCAACGCGATGCAGTCTTCTATTACTACATATTACTATTCTTATTATTACTATAATAATGATATTTATTATTTGTTATTCTTATTACTATTATTATTTTATTATTTTTATTATTTTATTATTTTTATTGTTTTTATCAATTTTCATTTATTTGTATATATTATTGTTCTTGTTGTTACAATTTTCATCGCCTATCCTGCCGCGTGGCTATGGCTGCATATTTAGCAGTCAGCAGTGTGGTAGGTTCCCACGAGCAGCTAGGCTTTCAAGGTCGTGAAACAATGCAAACCGATAAAACCCTCTTGCTTTCGGTAGATAGCGAGCATGGTTGTATGCATGTATGGATGTAATAAGCAATACTTGCACTGAACGTTCCTGGGATCGGATTGGGTTTGGAGGCGGCAGCAGATCGGTGCGGATAGTTAGGGTTAGCGCCGTGAAATTGGCTGGTGGTATGGCGAAGTCTTGGGGGCAGTTTGTGCCTGCTGCATTATCACTGATCTGCCAAGCCAGCCATTTGCCACGTGCGGGTTGGCTCTTACTGTACCTGGTGGTGGTGGGGGGCTTGGAGACGAAGGCACTGGAGGTGGTGGTGAAGGTGGCGGTGAAGGGGGTGGTGAAGGTGGCGGTGAAGGGGGTGGTGAAGGTGGCGGTGAAGGGGGTGGTGAAGGTGGCGGTGAAGGGGGTGGTGAAGGTGGCGGTGAAGGAGGTGGCGAGGGGGGTGGCGAAGGTGGCGGTGGCGGTGGCGACGGGGGTGGCGAAGGTGGTGGCGAAGGTGGCGGTGAAGGCGGCGGTGAAGGTGGCGGCGACGGGGGTGGTGAAGGTGGCGGTGAAGGGGGTGGCGAAGGAGGTGGTGACGGTGGTGGTGACGGTGGTGGCGAAGGTGGGGGTGGGGACGGGGGTGGCGAGGGAGGTGGTGACGGAGGTTGTGGAGGTGGAGGCCCTGCACACAGGAGGTGGCAGGTGGCAGGTTGGCGACGGAATACACAGGCACGGTTTAGCAGTGTAGTGACTCTGCCTGAAGTGAGCAAGGAGTGCTCACAGTTCCTGAGTGAGAGCCCTAGACGTGAGCTCCTGCTCGAATGGGCGCGGGCTCGAGTGGAGCCAGGCAGATGGCAGTACATGTTGGAAAGTATTTCGTACGCAGAGGTTCCGCCATGGAGGTGTTTGCTATCTGCGCGCTGTACAAGTGGGCCCGTCCCTACCACCCAAGCATCGTCATCAGCCCTAACAGAGCAGCCCTTATAAGTTCCCCCGACCAACTGAGAGCCAGACCAGGATATTCCAGCGGCTTATTAGCCAGAATTATATGCCTGCTGTCTGCCACCATGCAAGCGCAGGGCTTAACCGGAGGGGGCCCCAACCGATTGCCTTAATAGTCGATGCCTAATCATCCTTGCTAATCCGGATGTCGCGGGAATTTATATGATTATATGATCTCTTGTTAGCAATGTAAGTCATGTTAATATCACCCAGCTTACTGGGGATTAGGTAGAGGCGGGCAAGATTAAAGGGGGATCTTTAGCAGTCACTGCAGGGCGGTCCCTCTGCAGTTACCGGCAGATTGGATACCTAATCCCCAGTAAGCTGGATAATCCAATATTGGATTACCCCTGCTCTCTGATGCTAAGGTTCTACACACTTGCGCATGATAGCAACTTAACATGTAAATATAGTAATGTTTACTCCAGGACCATTATAGCCCTGCTGGCGTATTTTGTTAAGGAGACCAGCGACGGAGTCGCCAGTGTGTTGTTATCGCAGCTAACGCCTGGGCCCCCTATCCGTGTGACCACTCTCACAGAACCGTTGCCATGTGGCTGGGGCTGAACCATCCGTGTCCCAACCCCGCGGAACTTTATGTCTACATATGTAATAGCCGTGAGCTATGACAAGGGTAAACGCAGGACTCACTGACTGGCGCAGGCCATCCAAACCGCGAAGCATAGCCCTGCGCAAGATCCAGCAGCTCGGACGAAGACAGCGACCGGTTGTAGATCAGCAACACCGCCATGTTGCCCACCAGGTACTTGTTGTTGTCCCGGTAATCAGCCCCCACCACGAGGTTATCCCTGTCCAGTCTGCAGGGCTTGCTGGTTAAGGAGGTCAGGGAGAGGCTGCCACTTGAGCTGTAGCGGGCATAGTAAGCGGAGTTTGCACCCGGCCGCCGGGAGAACACTTCCATGGTCCACTGACCAGCGGGAGGCGAAGTAGTATTCGCGTTGATGCCGAATTGCACGCTGAGATCTCCGTACACGAACAAACCGCTTTGAACCCAATACGTCTCCCAGAAATATTCTCTGGGGATCCGGCTCATGGTCATGTAGGTCTGTGGTGTCTTCGTCGAGTTCAGGCGACCGATCCACACAGCTGTGAAGGCCGAGTCGGGGGCGCTGCTCCAGGCGGCATCAAGGAGGCCAAGGTTGCGGCCGTAGCAGGAGCCGCTGAAGTACACGGAGGCGCTGCTGCCGGCGGCAGCTGGAACCAGGCGGCAGCCCGTTCCGGCGAAGGTCAGGCGGTTCGTTGGCCGAGTCTGAAAGCATTATTGGTGAAGAGGGGCGCATGCATCATGCGTCAACGTTTGAAGGTGTGTACGCACACGGCCACACGGCGGAGTGAGCAGTGGGGCTGTGCGATTGAGTGGAACATGGGCAATGGGCGACTGAATGCGTGGCCGATGCGACCTGACATCGTGGCGGGCTAGCAAGCTGGCTGCAGGTCAAGTCGCACGGACAAAGTGAATAAACAAGATAGGAGAGGAAGTGGCATATCGCCAACTGCTTCTACTGCTGCTGCTACTACTACTACTACTGCTGCTACAACTACTACTACTACTACTACTACTACTACTACTACTACTGCTGCTGCTGCTGCTACTGCTACTACTACTACTACTACTACTACTACTGCTGCTGCTGCTACTACTACTACTACTACTACTACTACTATTACTACTACTACTACTACTACAACAACTACTACTACTACTACTACTACTACTACTACTACTACTACTACTACTACTACTACTACTACTACTACTACTACTACTACTACTACTACTACTACTACTACTACTACTACTACTACTACTACTACTACTACTACTACTACTACTACTACTACTACTACTACTGCTGCTCCTACTGCTACTACTACTGCTACTACTACTACTACTACTACTACTACAAAGACTACCACCACCACCACCTGCTTACATACCTACCTGAAATTTGACGTCGTCCCAGGTCACCACCGCGTTAGAGCCCGTGGCCGTGGCGACACCGGCAGACGCGTCAAAGTACGCCACCTCCGGAGCCAACCCATTCAGTAGCTGCCAGTTGCTGCTGACTGCAGCGAGCAGCAGCATCGCAAACGAATGATAAGTAGTAAGAACCATGTAGCAGCATGCCGACAGGTAGAATACAAGCAAGGCGAATAGCGTACGAACTAGGCATACATAATATCCGCCTGCCGACCCCTCGGAGTGTGAGGGTTGTTGAATTGGGAGGCGGGCCCCCCAATTTGTGGACGATATAGGACGTGATTATACGAACTTGCGAGCTGACCAGGAACTAAGTGGTGGTGCCGTTGATCCGCTAGATTTGGTTGGATGCTGGTTGTGAGTTGCTGAACCCAATGAATACATTCTGAAGTTGGATGGGGTGAATGGATTAGGGTGCCCCTCTTGCAGGGGAGAGCAGGGAACTGCCTCGGGAAAGGGGGCCGCTTGTGAAGCTATACCACCCTGTAACAACATCATAATATACGGACAAATCCTAGGACGGATGTTCGGACGCCAAGAACAAGGAAAGAGCATGCAGGAGACAAATTCATGCGTATGTACTTATGTAGCAGAACCATAACACTTACACATTCGTGCGTACATGCCGTGTACTTCGGGCATAATCAGTGAGCAGGCACTTGTGGCATCTAGCTGCTGGTGCTGGTGCTGCTTCTTGCCAGGTAGGCACTCTCGAGCGGCACCGAGCCGTTACGTACCTTGGGCTGAGGTTTGAGAGATGAAAAGTGCTGAGATTATCAGCAGCAGACATTTTAGCTTCCACATCATCGCGGTACGGCAGTTGCCTGCTCCTCTGCGTGCCTTGGACAAGGAGCGAGTTGGCGACAGGAAGAAGAAGTGAGCGAGGGCGCAATAGTAGTACGTAGCAAGGGAAGGCGGGAGGCGGGAGGCGAGAGGCAGGGCAGGTACACACATATCGGTCAATTCATCAGTAAGTTGCCATGCGCCGTTGCCACTTGCAGCAAGCACATAAAAAAGCCGCATGTCGCGAGCGGTGCAAAGGCCGGTTTGAGGCCATCAGTGCAGCAGCAGCGGCGTAGTGAGCAAGTGGAATGATAACTGAATGACAGGGTGCGTGGTATAGCTCGTGCAGCTGCTGTGGCTGGGTGGGCTCGTGGCATCAAGCTGGTCACCTGCCCGCGGCGAAGTAATCAGCCGAGCCATCGCTACTAGCAGCGCAACAGTAGCGGGTAGTGGGTAGCTCCTAGCAATAGCAGAGCTCTAGCAAACAACTATGCTACACGTACGAATCTGAGCATGCGGACCCAAAACGGATACATGTTTTTTTGTTGTCACACGCACAGTCACTCGCGCAAATAGAGGCAGGGACTTCCGTATCACCACCAGTAAAAGTAGGAATAGCAGAAGTAGTAGTAGCAGTCATAACAGTAGTAGTGTGCGCACATGTGCATACTGGTTCAAACGCATGCATCTCTAATAACAGCGCTTGCTGCTTCAACGTCGTCAAGCCGCCGGCATAACAGCGTGCTTTACCTTGGTTGCTTGGTCGGGCACCCGGACTAACGTATATGGCGAAGACGTCCCCGCCCCTCCGTGGGCCGCACGTCGATAGGTTCCAGTAAAATCAGAACTGAAGTGTAACTACTGTTGAATCCACCGGAGGGTGTCAAGGATGAAAACGTCGAGCACCGGAAACCGTTCTCAAGGGAGTGGGAGCGTGTGTGCGCACAGCTTGCTGGTGCGTGCGTACTTCACACCACGCGACACCTGCCTCCTTTAAAAACGCGACCACCGACGGAGCACATAAATAATAAAGCTAATACGCACGCCGTACAATTCGTATGCCAACGACGGATCTGCAAGCATCCAGCCCTTCAGTTAACGCGTGCTACATGCCTATTCCTACGTACTGCCGTGTTCCAGATGCATGGCGAAATTCTTGGAGGGTATGGCGGGCAGGTGTATATGGCGGGCGGGCACGGCGACAGCTGATGCATGACAACAAGTTTTATTTATGGCATGAACGGCCTAGATCTGACCATCAACTTGGGAAGGAACCGCTTTCTCTTATCAATGGAAAGCTTCCATGCCGCCTCAGAGAATGGCGGCGTAAGCTTTGGCGGCGGCCGTGGACGGTCGAACCTGTTATGTGCAAGCGGGCCCACGGATCAATGGTGTTATGTAAGGACCGTCAGTTGTTGGTCAAACGCAGAGTTCATCGACCCGAAGGAGGTACATTTCCCACGCACTAGATTGGAAACGCTTACGTCGATATCGTCCTTCCGTCCTTGTGAACTTCCTTGCGCAACGTAACGCATCGTAACTTCGCCTCGTGCAAATTGGATGAAGTGATGGGAATAATGAAATCAAAATCTCTTTTCACGACGAGTTGAGCAAAATGTATAACGATCTGTATATTTGTATAAACAAGGCACGGAATCCAGTAACAAATGATGTGGTGAAAAAATCCATCACAGCTAGTGCGCAGGCAAGGCGCACGTACGCCACACAATAAAGCCAGTATCAGTGGGAAGCATAGGGCTCTTCCTTCCCCCGAAATTTGTGCGCGTGGTGGTTAGGAAGGATGTGCCCGAACTTCTCAGCCAGGATCTCATCACACCTTTCAGGCTTAATTGGTTCAAGCTCATTAGCATGGATAGGCCACTTAGTTCGCGTGCGCTTGAACAGCCACACAGAGTTTAACGGCGAGTAGGTTTCGCCCGACTTGTAGGAGTTTCCTATCA